GGGGGTGCAGTATACAGAGGGGACATGCTTTATTCTGTGCAGTGTGCCTTCTTATTTAAAGGGACACTATAGTCACCTGAACAACTTCAGCTTAATGAGGTTGTTCAGGTGAGAACTATAGCTCCCTGCAGCCTTTCTCATGTAAACACTGTATTTTCTGAGAAAGTGCAGTGTTTACATCGAAAGCTAGGAACACCTCCAGTTGCAGTCACTCAGAGGGACTTCGGAGTTGATGGAGACATAATATGCCTCCATCCACTCAGATCTGCTGAAGTCTCTAGATCAGGGGTCCTCAAACTCCGGCCCCCCAGATGTTGCTGAACTACAACTCCCATGATTATCTGGCTATCTATGTAATTCAAAGAATCATGGGAGTTGTAGTTCAGCAACATCTGGGGGCCCGGAGTTTGAGGACCCCTGCTCTAGATAATGTGTACATTCAGTATATGGAGGTATGAGTGTTGCAAACTGCTGGGTAGCACTTTTCATTTGCTATACTATAGTCCTCTTGAAGAAATTGTAACGGTCTGGTTAAAAATATTTAATCAAACTGACTTTATTTTTTTTGTTATGCAAAAACATAAGTCTGACAGGCTACTAAGATTTGCTCTGTTACAGGGCCACTGGTTAGGACATTGACCAGATTCTAACCAGCATGCTAACATGTTTCCCTATTTCTGTTCAGCCTAGGGACATGATAAAGTGAAAATGACTTCCTTAATTGTCCCAGTGATTGACGTCCATAATGAGAACTTTAGTGAACTCTGGCCTTCTATGTTACTGGCCTTGAAAACCTCTACTTTCATAGCTTTGGATACGGTAAGTAATATAGTTACAGTTAGTCATGTAGTAATACCTAGATATCAGTGTTAGCATTTGGAATTAGTCTTAGTTAATTTATATTTTGAATTCAGATTACAGTTTATGGTTTTCAACACATTAGACTTTTTAAATTGTATTATTAATGTTCTATTAATTGAGATTTTTATTAGAAATTAAATGCCACCATCTTGAGATGGTGTGCGGTATTGAGGAGTTTGACAATAATAGTATAAAGGGAGCAACAAGAAAAATAACTGCCATGTGATTCCCAATATTGACCGTAGTATTTAAGGCATTGTTATTGTAAAATTATATAATATTTCTTAATAGAACATTGTGTTATATAACAATCATTTTAAGAAATACAGAGTATAATCCAACTATGCCCATTTGTTGAATCCTCCGTAATCACTACACTAGCATACAATGTCCCTGTAAACCAAGGATGATTTTTTTTTTTTTGAATAAATAAAGACCATAGTTTAGAAAAATAACAAATGAAATACTGCTTCTCATTCTAAATTCTGACACTAAAGGAACGCCCCATAACTTCTTACCTCGCTGGCCGCAGCTCTCTGCCTTTAGTATTTTAGCCATTTTAATCTAAATTTTCTCAGTTCTTTTAAAGCGACTCTGTCACCCCTACCTCCCACCTCAAAAAAATGAGCATTTCATAAAGCTGAAATCTTTATGAAACACTCATAAAGATTATGTTGGAATTTCTGCTGCTGCTGTTAAGTCCTCAGGCTCTATTTATGCAGGATGCGCAGTCTCGTGGAATCCTGCATAGACATCAGAGTTGTACTCTTACGCATACGCAAGAGTCCATCGCTGACTTTGGCTCTTGGCAGATGAGGCATCAGAAACCGAAGCAGACCTCACCAGAAAAGATGGCGACAGCAGTCTCCAGGGATAAGTTCAGGTAAGTAAATACCCTGCAGGACCCCACATTGGAAGCAGAGCAGTCACTATCTAAGCTCTTTACAAAATATGCAAATACCTGAGAGTGACAGTAGCATTAAGGAATGCCTTCTGGGTCAGTCTAAATTTCCATATTCTTTTGAGCCAGTACTACTAAATAACTAGGTGTTTCTATAGGCAAATCTTGGTGTCTTTAGTGTTTGCTTTAACAATCCACTTTCTGATGCTGTGAGGTTATTCTTTATGGTTTCATCAAGATCTTATGCAGGTCAAAGAATTTATTTATATTGTTAGAATTATCCCTGAAACCTTTAAAGTATTGTCTTCCCTAGGCTAAACCAACAGTATGGGAATATACCCTGGTTTTTAGTTGTTACTCTGTTCTCCTTACAGTCCATTTGATTAGCGTTTATTAGTTCCAGAAAATTTATATTTTAAAAAGTTCTGGCAACTACTAGAGATTTGCAATTGACGTACATGGAGACACCTAAATTAAAATCCATATCCATTTTATAAATAATGGTTCATAACGTGTTTTTATTTTGTATTTTCCATTTTAGGAGCTGAGTGGCCTGGGAGCCAGGAAAAGCCTTCTGAACCCGTAAGTGCCAGGATTGCTTTGGAAACACTTGTTAGCTGACACTGAATTGAAGTTCTAGAAACCAAGTTTTAAAATATAATCGCAATTCCCGTTTGCATTTTCTTTTCTCTTTTCAGCTGATGGAAAAGCATGGTTACATCTAGACAAGCAGTAAAATGGTTTTCTGACCTCCTCATTATTTGCTTCCTTAGCCTGCGGGGGTTAACTCCTTACTGTACCCATGCTTTCCAACGTCTGACACCCCTGTGCTTTTTTTGTATATGCATAATTTATTGCTGTTGTGTTTCTTTCATTGTACTACTTGGATTTCCTTTACCACCACATTTACTCGTGTTATTGTGTTTTGTGTTGTGTTCTAGGTGTGTAGAGGAGAGATATAAAGCAATATGCAGTGCAGCCAGGACACGGTCTATTTTATCGTTGGGCCTTGCCTGCTTCAAAGAGCTACCGGAAAAAGTACGTAGGCGAAAGTCGAGTCTTACTCCAAACAGAAAAGAGTTGTTTCCCTTCGGCAACTTTATTTATTGTAACTGTTCAC